TTTATGTCGTTTCCTTCTTTATTTAGTCTTTGTCTATTATCGGGGCACAGTAATTTCTTTATTTGGTCTTTGTCTATTATCGAGGTTTACTATGGTGGGGATTCGAAAAGACCGTGCAGTGTAGAATATGGAGGGTGTGCATTTATAGAGGGTGTGCATTTATAGAGGGTGTGCATTTATAGAGGGTGTGCATTTATAGAGGGTGTGCATTTATGGAGGGTGCATTTATGGAGGGTTCACTGTACACGTATTTATACTTTTTATCAAGGACAATAAATTCTTTCCCACACAAAAATTGCTATGTGTATCTCCTCGGTCACTGCTATCATATCTCTCGACACTAAACCTAACCCTTTACTCTTTAACACTCAGACGAAAGAATATTTATCAATTTCGTCATGTCGTGCGAGTGTTTGATTTATTTATACATCCAAGATAGTTAGTTCCCTTTATAGGTTATAATATTAAGTACGTTTATTTTTTACTGTGTGAGGTCAACTGTGTATCACATACGAAGCACAAATGTCGATAAGTTTATCTGTTGAAAAGAGCACTACATATCTTTATTAAATGGGAAGATCGTTGACATATTGTAAAGTGTATCCAATATATCATTATTATATCAGCCTCATGCCGAAAATTCTCGTTTCCACGATGAGTTTGTCCGTCTACATATAATTATTATCATTACGAGATCTAAGAATTCGTTGACATATTGTAGATTTGGATTATATATTGCGGAGAGTTCGTCTACATATAATTATATTATCATTACTAAATCTCACGAGGCGCGAGAAGATCGTTGACATATCGTCAAGTTCTCGTCATGGTATCAATACAATAGCCTCGTTACGACTTCCTTTTAAGATTCTCGCAACTAACTCGTACCGAGAATTGCATATATATAGTGGCGAGCTTGTCACCATATAGATGTTATATCGTTTAATATCATTGAAAAATACAGCTTTCTGTAAAGTAGCGCGTAATTAAAAATTTTATTATTTTGCTCAGCCGCCCAGCATTTTGGAAGAAATGAACAGTTATTAAATTTGCCTTAGCACACCAACTAATTGATATATCCGAGAACTGCGCCAACAATCCAACGATAGGTTATTGTGCTATACAGTCCTGAAGTATATACGGTACGAATAACAGATACAAGCCAAGCAATTGGGGAAGGGGGGGGTAAGACGTGAAGTAAAAGTGGACATGGCCAAGATTGCAAAGTTTACATTTTATATCCTACCTAAACCATCTTTAACATCACGAAGTTATTTACACTTCATTGTTATTGGATAAAGTAAAAATCAAATCACCGAAAATTATTGAGTAATCCATTGGTGTAGGAGTGCCATATCTGCCTCCATATGCTTTCCCTTCAATTTTCTTATAAAATTCCGCCCATCTTTGGATGACACAGTATTGAGCCCTTCTAATAACTTACCTAGCTGATACATTTCCGAAAGGGTTGTGTAGGCTTTTGTCTGGTCAAGTGTGCCCAAATCCCACTGCGTCAAGAGGGTATTGAATATCTCATCTGTATGCCCCCCATGTTCGAAATCGATTAGTACATACTCATAGCCCATAGGGCCTGTGGGATCATATACAATATTCGGTAAACAAATGTCACGATGAACATAACCGGATTGATGTAACCAATTCAGCCCAGTAAGCAAGCTTCTTGTCATTGCCCATGTTGTTGGCTCATCCTTTGGTACACGCTTATAGCCACGTGTCTGCAGCTTAATGACATATTTCCCTGGAGTGCCCTGGCGCTTTTTGTAGAAAGGCCCTTCAAAAACCTGAACTAACCCATTATGACCTCTAGCAATTTCATACATGTGCCTTAAAGTATCAACGCGATTCTCATCAAGGTTAAAAATATTATTCTCCAAGACCACTTTGTGGACATAATCATCAAAGAAAGTAATTGTTGAGTGTCCCAATTCCAGCGGCTTGCCGATGGGAAATATATCATCAGGGAAGGCGTTATTAGTGATCATGGTTTTGAAGATACGAGCAATATTGACGATTATTTTGAGAACCTTAAATCGAGAGTCAAGTTGTTCCATGTAAAGGTTTGAGGAGAGGGGAACCAACATCTTATTACCATCAATTGCGTAGAAACAGATAATGTCTTTTGCTACGACATAGCAAATCAAAAACTTAACTGGACCAAAACATAACGGATCGAGCTTGCTAAACTTAGACAAGAGCTCGTATCTGGCGGTTGAAAATAAGGCTCGCATGGGTTTCTCCTCATTTTTTATCACGAGTAAATCATTAATGTAACCAAGAAGATCAGGTCTCATTTGTTTTTTTGTTGCTGGTGTACTCTTCACATCTGTTGTGGTTCCCCTTAAATGATAAAGCATCCAATTTACCATTATTCATGGGACAAAAAAAACTAATGAGTGCATACAAATGGAAATGTACCTCTCAGTCGCATTTCGAGCAAAATCAATTCGAAAACCCGAGTTGTTGCAAAATAATTGTAACGGGCGCTTTGTTAATATATCCACAGACGTGACCATTTCCAGTTTGGTTGTAATAGCAGTGAGCTCTACCTCTGAGAGGGCATTGCTGATAGTCCGTGCTAATAAACTCTCACTGTTTATCTCATCATAATAAATACCTTCACTGATTTCATTAAACTGGTGGTTGTCGAAGGTTGTCAATTTTAAATGGATATTAGAATGGTTAATATGGAAGTCAATCATACTTTCGTTAACTCTGAGTAAAGAGCCACAGGAAGTTTAGAACAAAGCGGCATATCAATGAAATCCGGTAGCTCGTTGGCCGAAGTGGGAAGAGTATCGAACGGTTGGATAAGAACTTCACATAGAGCCTTAGTCCTTTCAGGCACTGCGGTTTAAAACCAGGGGTTATTAACACGTTATAGAAAACAATATAATAGAATGATAAAAATTAAAAGTACAATACCAATACCAATGCGAGGTCTTTTCGAAGGATATTCATTGTCTTTATTTTCTACATGAGAAACACAATACAATGGATTGATGAGATGAAGCGAATGTAAGGGGAGGATGCGGATGAATTATGATGAGACAGAATAAATGTATAAATGTTGAATGGGAATACAAATGAAAATAAGCATATTAGACATGTATTATTACTATTCTACACTACTCTATGTATAACAAGATTACAAAGTTGATACACTCTACTCTATGTACATACTACTCTATGTCTCCAACGCCCGAGTCACAAAGTCCGTTACCTGGTTTGAGAAAATTTTTTGCTTCTAAATCTTTGACTAGACCTGCAGGTATATTCAGATTTCTCAATTCTGTAGCAGTGAAATTCTTAACGTCCCCCAGTGTATTCAACCAATTCTGAGTAAATATTTCAGTAACGGCGGTTGCTTGCTCTGAGCTTGCCTTGCCAGCAACAAAGGTTTGCAAATATTGAGCAACAGTGGTTTGATCGTTCATCTTCGAAAAGGTGAATTTCTGAACGAAAAACGCGTACTAACGTTGATCAGTGGCTTAATAGTATACTAGTGGCTTAACCAATGACGTATTATTATTTAGTTTCATACTACTACACTGCCAAAATTATTTCCGGAATCTCGATCCACATTTTATAGAAGACTGTCAATAAATTTTAAAGTCAATTGATCGTACTTTGTGAAAAAAGACATAATATTTTTATTCGTATATTAGTTGGGGAGTTATAGTGTAATATTGTTCGCCCATCAATTATTTCTCGATTGTCATTATTCGTAGAACTAAGAATTTTGTTAACTTTAGTTCCAAAAAGGAAATGCATGAAGAGTGACAGTCATTTATTTGGTAAAATCCCAGCGTGACGAGAAATTATTTGTTTATTCAATAATGGTAGAAGTTTTGTTAATGGCACAAGACTGAAAATTTGAATTCAAATTACAAACACAAGCGTCGACAAGATTTTATTACACTCATGACATTATGATAGATCTGTTAAATAATGTAACGATGAAAACTATATGGACACTACCCTATCAAAAGTATCCGGTCGATCAATAAAAATTATATTTTATTATATAAATGTTTAATATTTAGTTGGCCATCCTTGGTTTTTATACACGCTTCACTCTTCCGTGGCATACTTTCAATTAAATTAATATAAGTTTCGGATGGGATTTTTTCCACATTCTTCTTGTA